TCCACCTTCTCATGCCACGTTGTTGGCGGGAGTGGACTTGACCCAAAGTGTCCCCATTCAGTGTCCTGATGTTGCTAGGTCCCCTGGGATTCCTGACATCTTCAAATCCTTCCGCAGGGACAAGGGGGATTTCTTGGACACTGACACAACATTGGGAATTACTGTTCAAGATAGTATCACTCACTAGACCTTTAGCTAATAGTACCCAAAGCCATAAATAAATCATAATGACCTAATTCCTACACTCACAAGGCCTTAAGAGCACAAGACCCGTAGTTTACAAATTCACCATGTCAGGAAGAGGGTTAGGGGTATGCGTAACTTGGGAGAGGGCAATATCAATCATAGTCCTAGGTTTCCCACAGAACCGGTCCTTATATATATAAAACAATACCAACAGAAGGGCTAAAATAGCTGTTGCCCAGAGTCCCCACACCCAATCTTCCTCAAGCATGAGTGTCTTTAAGTAGTGCTCACTGGATTCTATCACAGTTAATGGATTTTACATTACAAATTACAGTCATGGAATGTTGTCTTCCTCCGTTCCAAGCTTCGGCCGTGTGCGGGGAAGCAGCTTCCGGGGTGGTTCAGCAAGGCTGACGATCACCACCGTGCATTGAGAGTCCGTTGCTGGTAGGACTCAGCAGGGTGTATTCTTCTTGAACTTCAGCACCAATGGCCTGTCAGTTTTTGTTACCTGATATGTCACCGGATCACTCTGGTCCACAGGCTTCAGTCTCGTCCAGTGGATCCAAGATCTTCCTTCTAAGGTCTTAAAAGCACAATTACAAAACCAATACATCTGGGAGAGCGCGCAATGGAATCTGATCAGTTGTAGTCCTCTTCAGTTGGGGAAACAGCATAGGCAACCACTCAGTCCTAAGAAAGAAAAATACAAAAATAGTCCAGATGATGAAGAACACTATTCCCATTGGTTACTGCCCACCAGTCCATTGAGTTCTTTGGATCGTCAACTTCAATGGATCTCCTTGGTGAGATTCCACCTTCCACTCCTTTGGGGCTGGCATGGGCCCTTTCACTTGGGGTTTAACTTCCTTCCAGCTCCGGATCAACATCCAATCATTGTGGTGGAATTTGTGGACTGGAAACTCCAAAGTTGGTGTTTGGGCTAATAGTTCTTGTTTCCTAAGAACTTCAAAATATCTGGACAGTTTATACACATATTGTTTCAACACTTTTTCTTTGGTTTCTAGGGAATCAATCATATGCTTCCTGTAGTGAAAACTACTCCAAACAACAGTTCATATTTATTTATTTATTTATTTATTTATTAATCAAATTTCTATACCGCCCTACTCCCGAAGGACTCAGGGCGGTGAACAGCCAAGATAAAATACAGATAATACAAATATTAAAAAATCCCTTAAAATTATTAAATATTTCGGCCGAAACACAGATTAAAACACCCAATTTGTAAAATCACGAATTAAAAAATTTAAAAATTTAAAAGATGGGAGTTAGGCCAGGCCAGCTTGCTGAAATAGAAAAGTTTTGAGAGCACGGTGAAACGTGCGCAGGTCCGGGATCTTCCGTATCTCTGGGGGGAGCTCGTTCCAGATGGTAGGTGCCCCCACAGAGAAGGCTCTCCCCCTGGGGGCCGCCAGTCGACACTGTTTGGCCGACGGCACCCTGAGGAGCCCCTCTCTATGGGAGCGTACTGGTTGGTGAGAGGCTATTGGTAGCAGAAGGCGGTCTCGTAGATACCCCGGTCCGATGCCATGGAGCGCTCTAAAGGTGGTAACCAAAACCTTGAAGCGCACCCGGAAGACCACCGGGAGCCAGTGGAGCTCGCGCAGGAGGGGGGTCACATGGGAGCGCCACATCGCTCCCATAACCACCCGCGCGGCCGCATTCTGGACTAGCTGGAGCCTCCGGGTGCTCCTCAAGGGGAGCCCCATGTAGAGAGCATTGCAGTAGTCCAAGCGGGAAGTAACGAGAGCATGAGTGACCGTATTTAACGAGTCCCGATCCAGAAAGGGACACAACTGGCGAATCAGGCGGACCTTATAAAAAGTCCCCCTGGCCACGGCCGTCATGTGCTCTTCTAAAGACAGCCAGGAGTCCAGGAGGACACCCAAGTTGCAAACCCTCTCCGTGGGGGCCAGTGACTCGCCCCCAATAGTCAGTGATGGCACCAACTGACTATATCGGGATGTCGGAAACCACAGCCACTCCATCTTGGATGGGTTGAGCCTGAGTCTGTTTCTCCCCATCCAGATCCGCACGGCCTCCAGGCACCGGGACATCACTTCAAGGGCATCATTGGGGTGGTCCGGGGTGGTGATGATATGATGATAATCTTTCTAGGTTGGGTCTAATAAAACTCTTGACACCACTGTTGCTGTAGCATTACTGCAGGGAAAAGCTTCAACCCACCCTGTGAGGTGGTCCACTATGACCAATAAATATTTTACTCTCCCCACTTTTGGTATTTCTGTAAAATCCACTTGAATACATTGAAATGGTCTTAAAGCTGGTTGTTTCCTGACAGCTTGTTCATTCACCTTTTTACAAATCAAACATTTGTCTATAATTGATTTTGCTAAAGGATATATCCCAATACAACCATAGCATTTTAAAAGTTCATCTACAATAGCTTGAATTCCCCAATGACTCCACCCATATTTTATCAAATGTATGCACTATCCCAAATGCATACTTGGACTCTGCCTATTTTTCCTTCCAAGATGCATAGAGCCCCCCCCCCCTTTTTAAAATTTGATTTATATGCCGCCCTTCTCCGGAGACTCAGGGTTACAATACGTTAAGCAATAGCCTTCATACTTTTCTATATTGTACAAAGTCAGCTTATTGCCCCCACAAACTTGGTCCTCAATTTACCTATCTTAGAAAGGATGGAAGGCTGAGTCAACCTTGAGCCTGGTGAGATTCGAACTTACTAATTACAGACAGCTGGAGTTAAATTACAATGCATTAGTCTGCTGAGCTATCCAGGCTCCCTATCCATAGAGCTTAATTTAGTGCATACAATTCAAAGATTTGAGCAGACCAATTTCGAGGCAAACCCCCTTCCAGGATCTCTTTAGTGTGTCCATTTATAATAGCATATCCGTTTTTCCGTACTCCCTCCTCCACCCTAGAGGAACCATCTATAAAAATTGCTTCTCCTTTCTCCAGGGGGTGTTCCTCCAAATCAGGTCTTATTTTCATTTGTAAATCAATTACTTCAGCACAATAATGTTCTAATCCAAACTGATCCATTGATCTGGTGTTGGCTAAGAACTGTGCTGGATTCAAATTGTGATCTGTAGTTAAAATCAAGTCTGTCTGCTGCATTAAAATTGTTTCGTATTTTAGAATTCTGGAATCAGTTAACCACTGCCCCACTTTTTGCTGAAGGATGGTTCTGACTTGATGTGGGGTGCTTACAATAAGGGCTCCCCCAAAGGTCAATTTCCTACTTTCTTGGACTAATATTGCAGTAGCAGCAATTGCTTGAATACATACTGGCCATTCCCTTATTACTGGGTCCATTATTTTTGACAGGAATGCCACGGGTTTCTTTTGTCCTGCCCAGTCCTGAGCCAACACCCCTTCTATTCTATCAGGAGTGATTTTCCTACTGCCTTCACTAATTAAGTGTATTCTAATGCTTTGTCCACTTAATCTGATCTCTGTCAATTAAAAACACCACTTCCTCTTCTTTGGATCGGGCAGTCTTTAACGCTGTCTTCCCTGCCCGTATCACCACTTCTTCTTCCCATTATCACTTGGTTCCACTACTATCCATCTATAAACAAATTAGCTCCTTCTTCCAAAGGAACAACAACTTATGCTGCTAACAAACAAACAAACAAGCAAACAAACAAACAAATAAATAAACAAAAGCACCTTGTCTGCTAAGTATGCAAAATGCACGCAGACATAAAGACATAAAAGAGTAAGAAAAACAGCTTCAAAAATAAAACAAACAATCTAAATGAGGTACTTTGGATCAATGCTCTGAAATATATTTGGATCAAACTTTAGCATCAATTCTCTGCCTTTAGTAAAATGCAAGTCAGATTCAAAAAATCTTTCAAAATCATTTCTTTTATATAGGTTTAATTAAGCGTTTTAAACCTCAAAATTTTCCAGAAAAAAATAAATCAAAATTGTATTCAGAGCAGAAAAGAAAATATATCTGCATAGCTTTTATATGCAGATGAAAGAGACCGAAACAGCCAGAGGCAAGGCTGCATGAGCCGATCACCCACTTCCCCCTCCTTTCTCAGACAGATTAAGAGAAAGGGAAAAAAATGTTTAAAGCAAGCAGACAAGCCTCACTCCCCCCTTCACTCAGCATTCTTTCAACAAAGCAACACTCTGCATTTCTCTCTAGCCTCCACTAATTTCACATACATTATCCACAAATTTCTACTTACTTCACAATAGCAACAACAACAAAACCTTGCAACTTACTGTTTCTTTATATGAAAGGGAATCAGAGTACATTCACACCAACTTTTACCCTCAACACACTCACATTCGCGCTGCAATCAAACTGCTTGTGTACACCAATTTCACATGCAAAAATCCCACTTCATGCAAACCAATCATTACAATTATTTCCTACATGCTATTATTATAGATGCACATCCAGGAATTTTTTTTTAACAGAAATCAAATTGATCAAGTCAAATTATCTGAGTCTTCCCACTTAGACAGGCTTTACCTTTTTACTACCTGCTAAACCCCGGGTGGGAAGAACAGTAAACAATTTCTTCTTTATTGTTAGTTCTTTCAGAGTTTTCTGGCTTTTTAAGAATGGTAATTTATCAGAATGTTTATAATACTGCAGTAGTTCTTTTCTCTTACCACACATAACAGCATAAATCCTTTTTTTTTTTTAACTTCTCACTTTTTTTTCTCTGCCCTGGGATATTCTATCTAGCTCTCTCTAGCTTGGATCTCCCAGCAGGCACTGGTGTCAGGTTTCGATGCTATCTCAAAATAAATGAACTTCCAAACTGCCGATCTTTAAGGAAATTTTCTCTTTATTTGAGCACAGCAACCTGATCCAGACTCATCGTGGTCAGTACTGACCTTTGCCCCCCAATCCCTCCCTTTCTGATCCCCAATTCTCTGCTTCTCATTGGCTATCTTCCAAGTCACTTTCCTGATTCCTTTCTTCGTCAGGTCACAGGAATGTCTCCCCCCTCCCCATCTCCGAGGAGACTGAATCTTCAAAGGGATTTAGCAGGCAAAAGTTCAGGCTTCTCCTCCCTTTTCTATGTCAGTTCTGAGACGCTGACATCCGACCCCTCTCCCTTCACTCTCCCAGTGAGGCCTGCATGAGACAAACAACAAGTTTAGTACTTTTACCCCATCCGAGGGTGTGTCCCACCCCCTCCCGGCTTGTCCGGGTGATCTGCATGGAATTTAGCTATAAGGCGGTCAGCTTGAATGTTCGTGCTCTTCACCCAGGAAGCTTCTGACAAGGGGTAACCCTTCCACTTAATTAAGTATTGGAGGCGCCCTCTGTGCCACCTCGAATCAAGAATTCGCTGTACTTCATAGTGGGTATGGCCTCCAATAATCAAGGGTCCTGGGGGATCACGTGGCACCAGCCTTAAAGTTGACCCTACCACAGGCTTCAGGAGGCTACTGTGAAAAACGGGGTGTATCCTCCCTAGTAACCGGGGCAACTGCAATTGTACTGTAACCGGGTTGATTATTTTCACTATCGGAAATGGTCCTATGAATTTCGGGCCCAGTTTCCTGGTCGGGAGTCTGAGTCTTAAATACTTGGTGAAGAGGTAGACCTTCTTCCCTACTCGGAACGGCCTCTGGGGGGCTCGGTGCTTATCTGCTTGTTTTGAAGAAATACACTAGTAGTCGCTCTGGTAGGGGAGGTAAGGTGCCAACGACTCTTCTGAACTCACGAATATGCTCCTTGCTGGGCTTCCCTCTCTGCATTAGGTTTCTGAGTTCGTCTTCCACATAGGGGTCCTCCCCTGCCTCCTCGAACCTAGCCCGTAGTAGTTGCAAGAAACCATCTGCGTCTTGCAGTTGGGGGGCTCTATTCTTGTAGAGGGCTACTGACCAACTCTTTGCTTCTCCCTCCAGCCCTTCTGAAATGGCACTGACTAGGGCTCTGGGGAATGGATAAAGGTGCCCATAGCGCTCAATATAGAGCTCAGCTGCGTCGAGGAACTGTGCTACCTGGTCTGGATCCCCATCGAACTTCCCTCTGAACCGGGGTGGCTCTGCCCTCGGTGGCCCCTCCTCCCATAGCGGGGCTCTGTGAGCCTGTCTAGGGTGCCATTGGGCTTCTTCCTCATCTCTCATTCGGGGGCGGGGGGGGCGATGCCCAGCTTAGGCTGGTATGCTTGCTGGGCAGAGGAGGAACCCATGGATGTACACTGGGATTTTCTTTCCTTCTGGTGTTGGAGGGGGGAGGGCTGCGCTCCCATCTATGGTGACTTAGTTCAACAGGGTCGGCTGGCTTCCCCCTTTCTTTGGGCCTGCAGGATGGACCCTCTTCCAGTCTGACGGCACGTTCAAAATCTTGCTTTAATTTCTCCATGGGGCTTTCGAGTGGCAGCTTTGAAGCTTTCTGCTGTCTGGCCTGCTGCCAGTCCCATAACCAGTCCGCCCTTCCCAATTCACTCAGAGGCTTTCCCTTACCTTTAGCGTCTGGAAAGGGGAACTCAGCTTCTGCAGATTTTGGCAAAGTCCACCAAGGTTCATCATTTTTTCTTCTCTTGGGCTGGAGCACGATAGTCTGACCTTGGTAATTCTGTGGCAGTGGTGGAGGAAGTGGGGGTTGCAGCTTTGCTGGGGGAGGGGGTGGCCCCGTTGCATCCAAGCTGGCTGGAGTAGGGAGGGGGGGCTGGTTCACAGCCACTTGAAGTAAGCTTTCAGTAGAGAGTTGGCTTTCTGCCATGGCTTCGGAATCTTTGCGCCACTCCGTCCAAACATCTGGCAGGGAGCTGGAGGGCTGGAGGTTTGCCAGTTTGGCTTGGAAAGTTGTGAGTACTGACCGTCTGTCAGGTTTCGATGCTATCTCAAAATAAATGAACTTCCAAACTGCCGATCTTTAAGGAAATTTTCTCTCTTTTCTCCCCAATTCTCTGCTTCTCATTGGCTATCTTCCAAGTCACTTTCCTGATTCCTTTCTTCGTCAGATCACAGGAATGTCTCCCCCCTCCCCATCTCCGAGGAGACCGAATCTTCAAAGGGATTTAGCAGGCAAAAGTTCAGGCTTCTCCTCCCTTTTCTATGTCAGTTCTGAGATGCTGACAACTGGCTTTAATTTTAAAGTTCCAAAATGTATAGAGACCTTTGTTTTCCTTCTAGTATAGTTTGACACAGAATCTTCAGAGCTTGCTGAGGACCCTGAGGCACTTCTCTTTATTTTCTTCTTTGACTTAGGTTTCGTCAGGTTCTCTGCTTCTGGCGGTACAGGAACCAGTTCAACTTTTATTGCATAAGGTTTTCTTTCTCCCCTCTCTGGTCTTTGTTCCTCAGTCCCTTCCTGGTCACAAGAAAATGTTGTGGAAAAATTGAGACTGAACAACATTCCTGGGCCAGCCAGAGTCAGTTTATTGCGCAAGGTTCAGAGCCAGATTTGTACCTGAAACTTTGAACAATGGAAGAGCTCTGATAGACAGTTTATATATGTTTCCAAGATAAACGATTCAGTGAGCTCATACATTTTCCATATATGGTTAACATACACTTGTTATATGATAATTGACACACTTCCTAATTACTAAACCATTAGTTTCTAGTTTATAAGATTATCTTAGCTACACAACTTTTCCTTAAGCGCTGTAGTTGCTAATGGGAGATTTATTGCTGTCCTTGGGTAATAAGAGGTAATAAGTGACTCTTTATTTCCTGTGTATGTCTTTGTGTCATTCACAGTGAGGTCACTCAGATGTTTTCCATATGGCTGTCCTTCCGTGACAGCTAGGCCTCATCAGAAGATATATTACCACTTAATGGGGTTTAGCTGCTTTTAATGTAATCTCCAACAAGCACGTTTCTCCCTTATAATAATGTGAATAGAGAGGGTCCTTTAGAGTTCATGTAGCTGACTCTGTATGATTCCTATTTTATTCACATTAGTGTCTCTCATTCTGTGGAAGTCTCTGTCCTCATATTTATGCTTCCTTTCTATCACTGAGAAAATGAGTCTTCTATTCCAGCAATTATTGTGGAAGTTGTGAATATTTAATGACAAATTATCTTTCCTGCTTGGTTTTTATTAAACTAATTATTTAGTTTTAGCCACTGTTAATGACTTGGTTGTAATGAATACCTAAAAAATTACAATAGCAATAGATGAACCACATATTGCTATGAATGACTGACAACTTAGGGTATTATATTTTAGATCAAACCAAAGAGCATCTGGAAAATTCAGATGGTGCAGAATGGGATTAATTTTTTTTTCTCCTGCTTTCTTGAGTTTATCTGTTTTGCTTATCTGTTTTGTTTACCTGTTTATTTTTTACTGTTTTAGATTGCTATGGAATTTTACAGAATCACTGTGTTTGTGAGGTTGGAGGGGGGGTGGGGAAGAATAATAAAAGGACTAATAAGACAGAATTGGTTCAAATCAGCCTTGATCATTAATGAATACTTATACAACTGGCGTTAGTTATCCCTTTAATGTAATTGACATGAACCAGTGGGGAGAACTTACTTTTTGACACTGATACATCTCAGGTTGGGTGACTGTTTATGTAATAAAAGAAACAAGTATCAAATGCTGGTGTTGATTTTTGCTCAGACTCTCTTTATATGATGCTATGACTCAAAATGCTGATATTTAGGGACAAAGATTTGCAAACCTTAGAAAAATCAAAAAGGTGTGAATACTTTTCTGCATTATACAGTAGGACAGAAAAAAAACTATATTTTGTATGGGTGCTGTAAAGAGAAAAATCACACATTTGGCACCAATTCCATATTTACTGTCCTTGCATAACTGATGGGATTTGGATAAAATAAGTTAATGAAAAAGACATTTTCCAAACCAATTCTACCAGTTTTCTAAGAATAATGATGTTGCTGCAATTCAAGTGTCAACATTGAGTGCCCTCTGGAACGAGCTACCCCCAGGGATACGACTGATCCCGGACCTCCGTACTTTCCACCGGGCTCTGAAGACTTTCTTGTTTCAGCGAGCGGGGCTGGCTTAAGATTTTAATTGATTAATTTTATAGGTAAGGGGTTTTAAAATTGGGAAGCCAAATTGGATTTAATTATTTTTAAATTATTTTAATTTTCATACTGTATATATTTTAACCCTGGCTGTTCACCGCCCTGAGTCCTTCGGGAGAAGGGCGGTATAAAAATTTAATAAATAAATAAATAAATAAATAAACATTTAGTTATGTCCAAGGTCTTCTCATCACTGCAGGGGAAAAAAACCCTTTTCACATGTACAGGAAGATTGACTGCTGTTCCACAAATTCTAGAATTCACACCAGGATTTAAATTCAAGGACAGAATTATATGCATTCACTCAGAGCCAAATACTGGAAGTAAAAAAGCCTCTGCATTTCCTTGAAGCTGGTAAATTTGACCCCATATACCTATTGGCAGTTGTGTTGGTGCTGAGAATTCTCCCAGCTACAAGGCAATATTGCATATATTCATGACAAGTCTCTGTGAAAAGCTATTTTAAATTCCATTAATATTCAAGTCCAACATTTTCTTTTAACATGCTTGTCACTCACATGCTGCCGTGATTCTTGAACATATCCTTGTTAAGGAGAACAGATGGTTTGAGTTTCAGTAGAAGAATCTCTCAAGTTTGTCAGAGTTGCTGTTTAGATTTGAGGATAATTTGCTTAAATTGGAGCTTAAACCAAGAGTCTCCTTGTGATGTCATCTCAGTCTCTTCCCTCTTTCTTTAACTGTGGCTGACAGAACAAAAAGAACAGCTTGCTACTGCAGATGTAGCCAATCAGTAAATGTTGGTTAGCCATTTACAGCTGAGTTGCTAATGAATTCTTATGTCTCCTAATTATTAATAGGACTAGTTTTGCTGGAGAAAAGAGATCCTATGCTTGTACTTCAGTCTGAAATCTTTTAAGCATGTTGCTTTGCATTAACAAGTTGCATTCTTCTTAAAACCTGTTTTAGAATGGTTGGGGTAAATAATTGTTTCCATTTGTAAAAACTGGATTATGGTTTGCCATAAAGATTAAACTAAGAAAAACTGAAAGGCTTATGATTTCGTCTTCAACACCCCAGGTCTTAATGAAAATCAAAGCATCTGAACGTAATAGCATATTTACTATATTCTATAGGATTTTTTTTTCACAAATATGCCAGAATTATTTTGAATAAACGCTACAAGTGACAATGTGTATGGGGAGATGTCACTGCTTAGAATATTTCTCTTTGAAAAACTGCTTTATTTTCAAGATAGTGTTTGTTCAGTAATGTAAAAAAAAGTGTGAGAGAACAAACATAAATCTTTTTTTTTAAAAAAAGTGTTTGTCCTCTGTGAGAAACTACTTCTTTTTTGAAATAATATTTTCATTTGTTTATTATTGTTCCTTATTCAACCAGGAAACTATTTACCAGTGACAGACTTATAGACATTTCACTAGAAAATAAAATGGTTAATAATATAAAGATTAAACAACACATAGATGCTTCCCTCCAACCCACCACCCACATACACTATTTTTTCCACTCATTATAAGGATTTGGAAAAATATTGCTCAAAGGTTTAGCCCTGAATCTTATTTGCAAACAGCTGGTATGTGTTTACTATAACTTTTCAGAAAATGTTGCTTGCCCCATAACTGGTTTGGTTCCGGAGCAATACGAAAGGAATATCTTGCTTGAACAAGATGAAGCAGCTAGCTACTCTAAAGAATCTATAGAGTTTTGCTGGCTGATGAACTCTGGGCCTTGAAGTCTGTAAGTCTTAAAGTTGCCAAGTATTCACATTCAAAATGATCGGGCAGAACTTCAAAAGCATGTGGAATGAACTGCAAAGAATTGTCACTTTTCTTTCTTTAGTTTGTTTTTACTTTTTCAATACATTTACAGATACATTTATTTGCTTGCTTACCCTCATAAAAAAGATTCTGAGACAGTTTAAAGAATTATAAATAAATGGTCACCCACAGATATGAACATTGTAACCAAAACAGTTAATAATATTTGTATGGTTTGTCTTTGTTTCTTTGTTGTCAAAGTAAAAAAAAATCCTAATAAAGTACAATAAGCAATGAACAAAAGAAAATAAAGTAAAACTAAAAAATTGACAGGGAAAAAAGTCCTTCAAAATGTTTGGCTAAATAGAAATAACTTCTAAAGCAATCACCTGGGTAGCAATTATAGCCCCCAAGTATGATGTTTGTTGCGGCCTGACTCACATGGAATATAATCTATTGACATATACTGATTGAAAGTGTATCTCTGCCTATGAAAACAGAAGTGTAAAATTCTGTCATCTCTCTATATCTATGCATTTTTCCTTTGGTTTCTAAGTGTCCAGCTTTACCAGAGACTTAATACTGGATTTAGGAGGAATTTCACTTATAAATATATTTTCTAAACTCTGAAAAAATCATATACATTGGAAACACTGAATTGATCCTAAATATAAAATTTAGGAAAAAGAGGGAGCTTCAGTAAATTAATGTAGAACTGAAAATTTTCAAAATTGTATTATAATATTTATTATGAAACAAAACAACAGTATAACTTGAAAATTATATATACATAAACTTATATCTAAGAATATGCTTATTAGCCATTTTCAGTGGCTTTTCAACACCCTCTCCCTCTCCCAATTCCTATATATATATATATATATATATATATCTTTTTCTTTTTCGTAGGCTTTTATGTGCATATTCTTTCTAGCCCTGGTTCTGTGAAATCTCATTCACAAGTTTCTGGGCCTTTTTTCTACTGACAAACAGCAACTCTCCCAGAGAGCAGCACGTCGCTTCTACCCTTTTAGGGATATGTTCACAATTACATGGGAAGAAACCCGAAATATTAACTGTACACACACACACACACACACACACACACACACACACACACACACACACACATATGTATGTCTTTGGTTATTTGGGTTTTCTCCCGTGTAAAATTGGAAGTGTCTTGGCGACGTTTCGATGAAGTCTCATTCGTCATCTTCAGGCTGGTGTTTTCAGCTTCGTGCTTCTAGGAGCAATGTGTGATCGCAGCTGTTTCTTCCTTTTAACTGCCAGTGGGGGTGTGAACTGATTGGGTGGGAGCTTGGCTTTGTTCTGATTGGGTGAAGGTGTGTTCTGATTGGTTGGGGGCTCGGCTGTGCTCTGATTGGATAGGGGGTTGGCTGTGCTCTGATTGGCTGGGGGTGTGTTCTGATTAGGTGGGGGCTTGATTGTGCTCGGGTTAGTCTGAGTTGCAGGGGGATTTGAGCTGGTGAGCTGCGTTGCTGTTGTTTGGCTTCGCGTTCGTGGTCGTGCCACATCTTCATGGTGGGTGTCAGTTTGCTTCATGTATGGATTGGAGGGGTTTAAAGTGGCTAATGATGCAGCTGTGGTCTGGCTTCTGGTTTGTGGTCATGCCTCATCGTTGGTGTGGGTTTGAGTTTGCTTTTTGCGTGGATGTGTGGTGGTGACATTCTGTGTGGTTTTCGTGAGTGTGGGTCTGGTGTCATTCTTTGTGTTAGGGACTCGTTTGTCAATAAAGGTGGGTTTCCAAATGAATGGTAGGCGGGAGGTATCATCTCGTTTATTCATGCTATATGGGCGTTTTTCTATCTCGATGGCTTTTCTGATTATTCTGTTGTTAAAGTGTTCAGTTTTGGCGATAGTTCTGGTCTTTTTAAAGTCAATATCATGTCCTGTGGCTTTAAGGTGTTGGACCAGGGAAGAAGTTGGTTCCTCTTTTCTGACTGAATTCTTGTGTTCTTCAATGCGTGCACTTATTCTTCTGTTGGCTTGTCCGATGTATGTGGTGGGGCAGGTAGTGCATGGGATTTCATATACTCCTTGATTTTCTAACTCAATTTTGTCTTTGGGGTTTCAGAGGATGGTGGATATTTTTTGGTTTGTGCAGAATGCTGTCTTGATGTTGTGTTTGTGGAGGATCTTGCTGATTCTGTCTGTGGTGCCTTTTATGTATGGGAGGAGGGCTTTGCCGTTTTCTTGTTCTCTGTATTGGATTTTAGTGGGGGTTTCTTTTTGGATTAGGTTGGTAATCTTATTTCTTTGGAATCCGTTGGATGTTAGTACGTTAGTGAGAGTGTGTAGTTTGGTTTTTAGGTGTTGTTCGTCAGCTAAGCTTTTTGTTCTGGAGTTGATCTGTGCTGGGTGGTGGTGTGAGAGTGTGTGCAGATAATGGTTTGTGTGTGTTTTCTTCTGATAGATGGTGTGTCCTAGGGAACCATAGGACACACCATCTACCAGAAGAAAATGTGGCACGACCACGAACGCGAAGCCAAACAACAGCAACGCAGCTCACCAGCTCAAATTCCCCTGCAACTCAGACTAACCCGAGCACAACTAAGCCCCCACCCAAAATTATTCTGTTGTTAAAGTGTTCAGTTTTGGCGATAGTTCTGGTCACCAGCATAATAATCCTACCACTAGCATAATAATCCTATCAGCAGACAAGGACAACGCCACGGTGGTTATGAACACATCTGACTACCAAACCAAATTAACCAACTTACTCCAAGACTCCACATACAAACCCCTAAACACAGATCCCACCACCTACCTGGAAAAAACCACTAGATCCAAAATAAAAGCCTCCCCCATCAGTGAAGAGATCCAGCAAAGAATCATTCCCAGAGAGAAATCATCCAGATGCCCTAAACTCTATGGTCTCCCCAAGATACACAAGGAAGGAACCCCACTTAGACCCATAGTCAGCTCCATAGGCTCACCTCTACAAAACCTAGCCAAATTTCTCGCCAAACAACTACAGCCCTATGCAGAATCCATCACTTTACATGTAAAAAACTCATTCCAGTTCATAGAGATCATAAAGAAACAAAACTTACAGCCCATCAACCTACTCGTGAGCTTCGATGTCATATCCCTCTTCACCCAAGTGCCAATCAAAGCAACCTTGACAGCTATCCAAAACAAATATAACCCCCACAAGCACATCCTAGATCTGACCAACCACTGCCTATCCAACACATACTTCATCTATAATGGACAAAAATACAAACAAATAAAAGGAGCTCCCATGGGATCACCCCTCTCACCTGTCATTGCAAACCTCTACATGGAACACTTTGAAACCCAAGCTCTAGAAAAATCTGATCACAAACCCAAACTCTGGCTCAGATACATAGACGACACCTTCATAATCTGGCCACACGGGAAAGAAAAACTGGACAACTTCCTCACACACCTCAACAGCCTACACCCCAAAATACAGTTCACCAAGGAAACAGAAGCTAACAACCAACTTCCCTTCCTGGATGTCTTAGTCTACAAGAAATCCAATGGCTCCCTAGGACACACCATCTACCAGAAGAAAACACACACTAACTGCTATCTGCACGCACTCTCACACCACCACACAGCACAGATCAACTCCGTAGCCAAGACACTCATCTCCAGAACAAAACGCTTAGCTGACGAAGAACACCTAAAAACCAAACTACACACTCTCACTAACGTACTAACATCCAACGGATTCCAAAGAAATAAAATTACCAACCTAATCCAAAAAGAAACCCCCCCTAAAATCCAAGAAAGAGACAAAAGAGACAAAATCCTGAAGACAAAATTGAGTTAGAAAATCAAGGAGTATATGAATTCCCATGCACCACCTGCCCCACCACATACATCGGACAAACCAACAGAAGAATAAGTGCACGCATTGAAGAACACAATAACTCAGTCAGAAAAGAG